CGGTGCTCAGCTGCGCTGCTCAGAAAGGAAGTGAGGCTGGGCTGCCCGAGCAGCTGGTGCCAGAGCGGAGCCGGGCTGCTCCCTCCCACCGCCAGGCACCCCACGCCTCTGTGCCAAGGTGCCCTTGACGCCCTGGCCAGGCAGGTATCCGGCTCTACCCCCTGGGGCCGCAGGTGGAGCAGTCTGAGGCCGTCTGCAAGGGCAGTGGCAGCCACCTGCCTGGGTCAGCCATCGGGCCCAGCCCTGGCCACAGGCCCCGCCCTCCAAGGACACAGCAAGTGTGGAACACAGGCCCGAACAAGGCCAGTTCCCATGTGATCCCCTCCTAGAAGGAGCAGCGCAGACCGTCAGCGAGCTTGGGGCACTCCCGAGGGCCGGGAGGTGGGCGCGGGTTGACTGCCCTGCGTTTTAGGAGAGCTCCTCTTCTGCTGTGTCCTCTCAGGCTTCTTAGTTATTTTTTATCTATTAATCAAAGGGATGAGCCTAATTAAACCAGCACTTCGAAATAGTCGCATGTAAAATGTTCGTGATACAGATAATTGAATACAGTAACGGGGGAAAACAGTGTGGAGATTTGATTTGCTCATTGAACTGAGCTTGTTCATTCTTGTAACCAGTTCCTGCCCAAAGTGATGATGGAGTTTTTATTCTACTTTTTCATAGACCCACGTACAGGTGACCTTGTTTATGACACAGTCCACCACTAACATCCCATCTTTCAATTTTCTTTCTTGTTTATTTGTTTGGAGACAGTCTTGCTTTGTTGCCCAGGCATGAGGGCTATGGCGTCCTCATAGCTCACAGCAACCTATAACTCCTGGGCTCAAGCAATCCTCCTGCCTCAGCCTCCCGAGGAGTAGCTGGGACTACAGGTGTGCGCCGACACCTGGCTAAAATTTTTCTATTTTTTGTAGAGATGGGGTCTCACTCTTGCTCAGACTGGTCTCGAACTCCTGGCTTCAAGCAAAGCAGTCCTCCCACTTTGGCCTCCCAGAGTGCTAAGGTCACAGGCGTGAGGCACCCACCTAGCCAGTTTTCTTGTTGTTGTGTTTTCCTTCCCGTCCCGGGCCTGATGGTGAACGAATGCGCCATCTGTAAAGTTGCAGACGGTCCGAGCTTTTCTGCCGTCAGCTGTGGTTTCTTCAAACTTCTCTCCCAGGGTACGAGGAAACCGTGTTGTTCTCAGAGTGCCCTCTGTGTTTATGGTGAGCTTTTTGGCGTGTAAGAGATGCGGCAGTCTGGTTTGGACGTTGCTCCCGTCGTGTGCAGAGCCATTCCCACTCCTGGTCCCTTCACGTATTCGGCGAGGCCCTTGCTGTCCACCGGCCACTGTCTTCCTTCCAGCTGCCAAGCGAGGGCCGGGGCCACGGCGGGCCGCGGCGGGTGCGTCGTGGGAGCAGACCAGGATCCCGTGTGGGGAGCATGCCGTGCCTGCTCAGGGCGTTAAACGGCCATCATGGTGGCAGCAATTCAGCGTTTTATTGACATCCTCAGTTTATAAATGGGGAGACTAGATATTTAAAGTCAGTGACTTGGCCTGACCTCCCAGGGGAGGAGATGGGCAGAGCCATCTGGGACCCAGCCGGGGTGCCCGGCCCGCTGCCAGGGCAGAGGAGGCTCGGAGGCTCTTCCCCAAGGGGATTGGGAGCCGTGGGTCCCTTTGTCTGGGCCTGCTCAGGCCATTTGGTTCTCTTGACAACCTAGAGTGGGTCTTGGGAGCCACGTGCCCCTGGCTAGCAGGGTTGTTGACCTGGGTGGAGGCAGGGCCGCTGCTCTGGGCTCCTTGCCACTCCAGACTCTGCCAGGATCAGGGAGTGGGTGTTGGACAGGAAGGTGACCCAGCCCAGGAGGCTGCCCCTGCCTCCCGTGCCCGCCCGTGCTTGTCACCCTGGCCAGAGCTTCCTCTAGTGACACGTATTTCTAACCTGCCAGCTCCCTCGGCCACCAGCCCCATGGGAATAGACAGGAAACCCTAAAAATTGCCACTTTGGGGGCCTTCCCTTCAAGGACTCTGCTCAGGCCTGGCCTCCAGTTTGGGCTTTTTTTTTGGGGGGGGGGTTGTTTATTTTATTTAAAAAACATTTTTTTCTTTTAAAGGAAGAAAGTGAACTGTTGTGGGCTGGGAAAAATGCTGTGGCCATGCCCAGGCGTGGCTTAGGAGAGGAGGGCCAGCCTTGGGGCCCAGGGTCTCGCCTCCGGCCCTTGCCTGGGCCTGGACAACCGCAGAGCCGGGGAAGGGGAAGGCTCTACCCAGCAGGTTCCCGGCTGTCACAGGCAGGGTCTCTTGGTGAGCGCACTGCCCCGTGGGAGACCTGCCATGCCGGGTTATCGCTGCTCTGGGTTGTGTGGCAGGAAGTGGCAGTGGCTGCACCCTGGCTGCCGGGTGGCCGTTCCCTCTGCCAAGCTGGCACCAGCTTTGCCGGTTCCCACGCAGCAAGCTCAGGAGGGCTTACCAGGGAGGCCGCAAGGCCCCCATTCCCAGGGCTGTGCCCAGCTCTCGGTGGGGTCCCCCTGCCAGCTGGAGCTGCCTTGCCTGTCCTCTGCACCTACCTGTCCACCCTGCCCACGGGGCCAGCACCCGACATGTCCATCTGACCCCCGCTGCCTTGGGAGATTGGTGTTTTGTGATTTCGTTTTCCCTCTTTATTGCTTTTTCTCATCCCCCCTGTGGATCAAAATGTCCTGAAACATGAGAATCGGGTGCAGAGGTGGAGCACCCAGAGCTCAGCCACGGGCGGTGAAGGCGCCGCCTTCCGAGCCCCACTCTCGGGCGAGATCCAGGGACCTGGCCTTGCCCGGCCTCCTGGCCCTGTGCCCTGAGGGCCTCCCCGGAGCTCGGCCTCCGTCTGCAGGCCCCGAGGGCAGCAACTGCGTCTTTCTCGGTTTAACAGATTTTTACCAAGCTCCAGCTGCGTGTGAAGCACCACGTGACACTTGGTTTCTGTCCGCTGTCTCCCATGTCCCTGTGAGTCCCAGGAGCCGGGAAACAGTTGATGGAGATGAGCCAGCGTGTGGCCCCCAGAAGGGGAGGGTGTGCCAGCGTGGTCGAGGGGCTGTCCAGGCCTGGGAGCCCCTGCCGGTTCCAGGAGGGTGTCCTTGCTTTCCCGGAGGGAGGGGGCCACCTCGGAAGTGGCTGCACAGGGGCCCCGGGCCTGGGCTCTCCTTTTCCCAGCTGAGCAGGGTCTGTGCCCAAGGAGTCACAGGATGTGAACACAGGGGGTCACCAAGGCCTATCCTTGTCATCAGCACTGTGCTTCCTGTTGGAGACGGCTTCAGGAGGAGGTCACAGCATCTCCCGGCCTCTGAAGGTGGGGAGCGGGCGAGGGGGACACGGCTCCGACATCGTGCGAGTGACAGCCCCACGTGCTCTTGTGCTGGCTCGAGTGGCCCTTCCCGAAGGGCTCAGGGGCAAGCGAAACCACGGGAGGGCCGGGCCTGGGTTCCACTGCAGCCCTGGAGGACGGTGCTGCGCAGCACAGGCATGAGCCCCGGGCCCTGCCGGCCCTGCCCGGAGCCCGAGCTCCTCAGATCTCCCTCGCTGTGCCGCCTTCTTCCAGACCCCGGCCCAGCCCTCGCAGGGCTGTCCTTGTAAGCGCTGTCCTGGTACCGGCCAGCCCGAGCCTCCTGCCACCCACTGTCTCCCCCTCCTTCCGGGCCAAGTGTGGCCGTCTGCCTGGGCTTCCTCCCGTTGTGCCTGCAGCAGGGCCCGTGTGCCCGCCCTGGACTGAGCCCGCTCCCCCTCCCTGGCTGCGAAGCCCCCTGGCGTGCGAGGCCCTGCCCCCCTGTGCGTCCTGCTCCCTGCCCCCGCTCTCCTGCTCCTCTCTGGGCAAGCTATGCCCTGCCTGCTCCCACGCCCCCCACCTGTCCTGGCTTCACCACCTGCTGACATCCTGTTTGCACTTGGGGGACCCAGTGAAGGCCTGCCTTCCCCACACGGCCTCTCCGCCACCCCGAGGCCGCCCCACACGAGTCCTGCCCTGACCTCGGGGCCCAGTGAGGCTTGTGCACTTGCCGTGTCCTGCGACAGCCTCAGGGCCGCACCCCAGGCCTCGTGTGTACACGTTTGGGGTTCTGGTGACAGTAGCCAGCCCCGGGCTGGGCTCCCAGGGATAGTGCCAGGGCTGTGCGGAGCCCAGAGCGCCCAGACGTGCGGGTCCGAGTGCTCACCAGTCTCTTCGCGGCCCACTGGCGGCCACAGGCACCGAGGGCTGTGTGAGCATGACATGGGCCCGGAGCCCGGGCCAGCAGGGCCAAGTGTGGCAGGGCTGGGCTGGAGGTGGCCCAGGAGGGGGAGTAGGGGACAGCAAGGTGGTGTCTGAGGCATGGCATGTGGCCTGGAAGGGCTCTCTCAGTGTTGGGGGTGGGACAAACAGGGTAGGAGGTGTCGGGCTGGGTTTGGGGGTTCACAATGGCCGGCCCCTCCCTTACAGCCCTGCCAAGCAGCCCAGGGCAGGGGTCTTGTTTTTTATCCAAGTATGAGGGACACGCAAACTCAGGCATGGCTTTTTTTTTTAATTGAGATACAATTTATATAACATAAAATTCGTCATTTTAAAGTGCGCGGTTCAGTGGTTTTCAGCACGTTCATCGTGTCGTGCAGCCCTCACCCCTGTCTCATTCCGAGCATCTCCCAGTACCCACTGGCAGTCACTCCCTGTCCCTCCCCCCAGGCCCTGGCAACACAGATCTGCTCGGTCCCTGGGGATGTGCTTGTTCCGGACGTGTCTTATAAATGGGATCTCGCGTGTGGCCTGTGTCTGGCTGCTGTCACTCCACACCATGTACCCGAGGTCCACCCCTGTGGTGGCCAGTGTCAGTGCTTCGCTCCTTTTTCTGGCCAACAACATGCCACTGTGCGGACGGGCCATGTTTTGTGAGTCTGTTCGTCCGCTCGTGGACCGGGCCTGGCTTTTGCGACTTGGCCAAGTCCCCATAGCCAGCGCGCAGTAGCCCGGGACCGAACTTCCACAGGCAGCGTGCTTCTGGGCGGGAGGCCCTGCGGGTCTGACTGCTGTGGGGATGAGTGCGTGGGCCCCACGCGGCCTCCTTCCTGGAGGGAGCAGTGTCGCCCCCAGCAGGGCCCTCGACTCATAGCGGGACCTTGGCTGCAGCCCACCGGGCAGGGCTGCTCACCGCATGTCCCTGTCGCTCACACAGCATCCGCAGTGTCATGCAGAAGTACCTGGAGGACCGAGGCGAGGTGACCTTCGAGAAGATCTTCTCCCAGAAGCTGGGTGAGTACAGCAGCCGCTCTGCCCGCCCCAGGCTGACCTCTTGCCCCACCCTAGCCGGCGGGCAGTGACCCCGCTCCCGGGAGGGTCGCCTCCTGTCCACTCCAGCAAAGCCCCAGGTGGCCCCAGGGGGTGCTCCAGGTTGGGCCGTGTGACCTCTCGTGCCTCCAGCCCCTGGCTGTCAGCCTAGAGGGCCCCGTGGCGGAGGTGGGGGCCCCCGCAGTCGTCCAGGGCCGCCAGGGAAGTTCCTCCTTTGGGGTTTTTGTTTTTGAGAGTTGCAGCTTCCCCTTGGCGAGGCCACAGCTGCTCTGGGCCGTTGGTAGGACTGGCAGGAAGAGGCAGGGCCCTTCCTGTGGCGCCTGCCGAGCTGTGGTTGGCCCGCCCCCGCCCCATGGGTCCTCTTTGTGAGTGACCTGCTCCGTGCTGGCCCCTCATTCTTCCTCCTGCTGCTGCTGGTGCCTGGTGTCTTAGCAGCACCCTGCAGGCCTGGCCTGGGGGGCAGGCTCCGGCCACTGGCCACAGCTCCGACTTGCCCTTCCAAGAGCAGGCTCTCAGCTCCGACCTGGGTGTGGCCTGGCCCAAGGGAGTGATGCATCAGGAAGCACACCACCCTTTGGGTCTCAGGCCTGTGCTGTGTGACCTTGGGCGAGTTTCTTCACTTCTCTGGACCCAGTGGTGTCCTCATCTGGGAAATGGGACTCATGAGCCTCACTGCCCCAGACTGTCAGGGTCAGAAGAGGCGGTGCTGGGGAGAGCACTCTGCCTGCCGTGAGCCCTGTTTACAAGTCACCAAACAGGCCAACCTCACCAAAAGTGATGGCTGCACACTGACAGAGTGCCCAGGCAGTGCCCCTAGAGTCGTGGGAAGCCACCCAGCACAAGCCCAGTCACCCATGGCGGACTAGAGGCCTGAGCAGGGCTTAGCTCTCCTTTGTCCTCCGGCAGCTGCTCCGGCCCCCACTCCCTGGGAGGGGCGAGGGCATCCTGTCCAGGGTCTCCTGGCAGCCCTTCCCCCAGCCCGTCCTACCTCTCTCAGGCTCCTGTGGACCGTCCCAACCTCTTTCCTGGGACTTGCCACCCAGCAAAGGAGCCTTCCGTTCTGCTCATGCCTCTGCTGCCTACCACACCTCTGCCAGGCCTCCTTGAGCCTCAGTTTCCCCAACAGGACCCACCCTCCCTACCTGTTTGTCAGGGCTGCTGTGAGCAAGAGCTAGACAGTGGGGGAGGGACATGGTCCAGAAGAGGGGCACAGCCCCCTCGGGCCCTCCTTGCCCTCCATGGCCACCCTCCTCCCCTGCACTGTAGCTTGACCTGGTCCAGGTGGCTGGAGCATCCGAAGGGCCCTCAGGCATGACTTTGTCGCTTGTGCACAGCCCCCGTTTGGGTGGTGCGGGCCTCACGGAGCAGGTGCAGGGCCTTGGACTGCACTGAGGGGATGCCCAGGCGCCAAGCCAGGGCTCTCCGATGCCAGAGCCAGCCCCCTTCTCTGCCTCTCCATGTGCCTGTCACTTTCCAGCCTCTGTCTAATTTGGGAAGTGAGTAGAAACACAGGGGCCCTGACCTGAACTCCAAGAAATCTCCAGACGGGCAACAGCCTCGGTGCCCACCATGCCCAACTCCTGCCTGGGAGAGAGATCGCGTTTTGCACACGATGGTAGGAAGACCCGAGAGGAGGTGTGGCTCAGTGTGACCCAGCTCGGTTACTTTCAGGGTACCTGCTCTTCCGAGACTTCTGCCTGAACCACCTGGAGGAGGCTAAGCCCTTGGTGGAGTTCTACGAGGAGGTGCGGTGGGCCCTCGCTGGCGCTGGGTGGTCGGCAGGGCCCCCGGGGGGCCGGCCCTGCTCTGCCTGGAGAGAGGGGAGGGGCTGGGGCGGTCTTTGTGGAACCCATAAGATGCCTGGCCCTGGCCCGTGCCCTGCTGGGCCGCAGACCACCCGTGCGACTCCTGTCCTCCAGATCAAGAAGTACGAGAAGCTGGAGACAGAGGACGAGCGCGCCGCGCGCAGCCGGGAGATCTTCGACTCGTACATCATGAAGGAGCTGCTGGCTTGCTCACACGTGAGTGTCCCTGGCCAGCTCGGCCTCGGGCTCAGCCGGACCCATGTGCAGGCCCAGAGTCACCTGGGCGTCGGGAGTGGAAGAAAGGACCCTGTGGAGAATTCACAGCCACCTTTGTCTTCCCAGCCCTTCTCAAAGAGTGCCACCGAGCACGTCCAAGGCCACCTAGTGAAGAAGCAGGTGCCCCCGGATCTCTTCCAGGTGTGTGCCGTGCTCGTTCCCTGCTGCTTCCTGGCTCCCGCCCAGGCAGGGCCGCCCCTGACAGCCCCAGGTGGAGGAGCCTGACCAGCTAGGGGTGGGGCCTGGGCAGCCGCGGTCCTGCGGGGCTCAGTCACCAACTTCCGGCTTCCTCCCTTAGCCATACATCGAAGAGATTTGTCAGAACCTCCGAGGGGATGTGTTCCACAAATTCATCGAGAGGTGAGTGCGGGGGCTGGTGTGCGGGAGGAAGAGGAGGAAAGGCCGTCCTGAGAAAAGGCCTGGGTGGTGTGGAGGATGGAAGCCAAGCAGGGGCCTGGGCACTTCAGTGGCCCCATGGCAGGGCCTCCTGAGAGGTCAGACAGGCTTCTGCTCACCCTGGGCACCACCATGCTCAGCCCCAGGCAGCTCAGACCTGTCCCGGGCAATATTTCGGGGAGCCAGAGACCACCTATGCACGCTACCCGCCATGGCCCACATAGCTAGAATCGGCCAGGTGGGTGGGAGTTCTAGGCAGATTTTAGCTAAATATAAGGAGCAGCTTTTTTAGGGTCACAGCTGCCCAGCCATGGAGTGAGCTCTGCATCACAAGAGGTATGCAAGCACAGACAGGGTGGGCACTCATCCAGAATGTGGTAGCAGGAAGTCTGAGTTAGACTGGAAGACCTGCTCCCCAAGCTGCTCTGATCCCGACAGGAGCCCACCGTTAGGTGGCTGCGACCACATTGAGCACCTGAGCACAGGCCGCCGGCCCTGAGGATGGGCAGGCCCAGCACCTGTGGTTCCCACAAGATCCCAGAAGAGGAGACTGGGGCTTGGGGTGTTTCCACATTGGACGGGAGCCCGGGGAATGGCAGCAGCGTGGGGCAGGCTCACGCCAGCATCCTTCTGCCCACTTTCTGAGTCTCTCTGAGCCTGGGTTCTTCTCTTACAGCGATAAGTTCACACGATTTTGCCAGTGGAAGAACGTGGAGCTCAACATCCACGTGAGTGGGTCCAGGTGGGATGTGGAGGGCCGTGCTCCCAGCTGCTCCTCTCCGGGAAGCCAGGCCCGTGGCTTGGCAGGGGTGGGGAGGTCAGGGGCGTCTGCCTTTCAGCTCCCGGGGTGGTGGCTGTGGGGATCAGTGCCGGGACCCCAGCGGCAAGGGTGGCCAGGACATGGGTGTGGGGGATGCTGGCACAGGGCCAGGCCCTGCAGCCGGGTACCTCTGCCCCGGGGCTGGGCCAGGCAGCCTGCAGTGACCCCAGCTGTCACCCTCCCCGTAGCTGACCATGAACGACTTCAGCGTGCACCGCATCATCGGGCGCGGGGGCTTTGGTGAGGTCTACGGGTGCCGGAAAGCCGACACGGGCAAGATGTGAGCACCTTGCTCGGCTGGAGTCTGGGGGATGCCTGGAGGGGGGACAGGGCTCTGGGTGGGGGGCGGGAGGGGCATTTACGGGGGGCGGTCCGTGCTCCTGGTGAGGGGCCCTGCCAGGCCAGTCTCTGCACAGGGCCCCGCACTATTCCCTCTGTGCCGTGGTGTCCCTCCCTCCGCCTGCTCGGGCCGTGACCCTCCTGCACGCTCCCAGAGCCCCTGACGTGCCAGACTTCCTCCTGCCCTCTCTCCCTGTTTTGTGTCACGTGCTTGTCCTATGTCCTGTCTTCCCCACCAAGAGCCCCCAGGGCAGCCCAGGCTCCCTTCCGCATGGGGGCGCTGACCACCCCTTACCCCACAGGTATGCCATGAAGTGTCTGGACAAGAAGCGCATCAAGATGAAGCAGGGCGAGACCCTGGCCCTGAACGAGCGCATCATGCTGTCCCTCGTCAGCACCGGGGTGAGCCGGGCCTGCGGGCTGCCTCCAGGCCAGCGTTGGCCCCGGGACCTCGGGCAGCCTCCGCTGACCACCCCTCCCCTCCTAGGACTGTCCCTTCATCGTTTGCATGTCGTACGCTTTCCACACGCCGGACAAGCTGAGCTTCATCCTGGACCTCATGAACGGTGAGTGCAGGCTGGGCCCAGGGGACAAGGGCCAGGGCTGGGGCCGGGCAGGAAGCTGAGCGCCACCCCATGGCTGCCTCCCTTAGGCGGGGACCTGCACTACCACCTGTCCCAGCACGGGGTCTTCTCTGAGGCCGACATGCGCTTCTACGCGGCGGAGATCATCCTGGGCCTGGAACACATGCACAGCCGCTTCGTCGTGTACCGGGACTTGAAGGTGACGCTGGCGCGGACGCTTGCCCTGCCCTGCTGCCCCTGTCCTCCTGTCCTCCTGCCCTGAGCTACTTTCTGGGTTCAGTTGTGACTGGGGAAAGGAGACCCCGCCTGGGCCCTCTCCCCGGACACCCACGATCCTCTCAAGCGAGGACAGTGACGCGGGCGCCATGCCTGGGCGGCAGCTCACTGCGCTTCCTCCACAGCCAGCCAACATCCTGCTGGACGAGCACGGCCACGTGCGGATCTCAGACCTGGGCCTGGCCTGTGACTTCTCCAAGAAGAAGCCCCATGCCAGCGTGTGAGTGCCCCGCGCCGCTCCCCTCCCCTGCCCTCCGCGGCCCGAGCTCATGGCCTCCTTGCTCCCACAGGGGCACCCACGGGTACATGGCCCCTGAGGTCCTGCAGAAAGGCGTGGCCTACGACAGCAGCGCCGACTGGTTCTCCCTGGGCTGCATGCTCTTCAAGTTGCTGCGGGGGTGAGTGGCTGGCCCGCGTGGGCAGCTGGGACGGGCCCGAGAGCAGCTCTTTTCCAATCCAAGTAGGGGGCTGGGGGAGGGGAGCCCACAGCCGCCTGGGTGTCTGGGGTGGCACCATCCCTGGCTCTGGACAAGGCTCATTTATCTGCCTGCCTCAGTTTCTCCACTCCCGTCCTTTGACCTGGGTCTTCGGCCCCTCTTCCCCAGGCACAGCCCCTTCCGGCAGCACAAGACCAAAGACAAGCACGAGATCGACCGAATGACCTTGACGATGGTGAGTGCAGGGTCTCAGCGCGGGACCACGGTGGGGCTGGGCCTCCGGTGTGCCAGGCTCATGACTCTTGGTTCTCACCAGCCAGCAGAGACCTCCGGCCACTGAGCCCCTCTGGTCTCTGTGAGGCAGACCTCCTGCCCCGCACCGCGGGTCTGGCCCTGCCTGTGCTGTCGGAGTGCACAGCCGCTGGGCTGTCGTCCCTCCCTCCGCTAGGGGCCCGACACCCCCACCCCTAGCTGTGATGGGGTCAAGGGCTTTTCCCCAGCCCCTGCCGACATCCCGCTCCTCTCTCGAGGCCGTGGAGCTGCCCGACTCCTTCTCCCCTGAACTCCGCTCCCTGCTGGAGGGGCTGCTGCAGAGGGACGTCAACCGGAGACTGGGCTGCCTGGGCCGCGGGTGAGTGCCCCGGCTGCTCGGCATACTGGGTGTCCCAGTCTCTGCCGTGTCCTGTCACCTGGACGCCCCCGTGGGTCCCTGCCTCCTTTGAAGAGCTCACAAGATGGGGCATGGCCACCCTGTCTTTGGGTGCAGGGCTGCCTGCGGGTGGGGCTGCTGGGCCTGGCTGGCGCCCTCGTAACAAAGATGACAGTGATGATAGCAGCTTTGTATGTTCATTCAACCTTTACTAAGTGCTGGGCACAGCGCTGCCAGGTTTGCCAATGTTAAAACTCCCCACGCCCTGTGATGTAGGAACTGCTGTGCTCCCATTCAGACATGAGGAAACAGGCTCGGGTTTAAGGAACTTGCCTAAGGTCACAGAGCTACAGAGTGGCTGAACCAGGAGTTAAGCCTGGGCAGCTTGGCTCCATGCCCAGGCTGAGCCCCCGACACGGGGTGGTGTGGAGCCCTGGTGACAGGCATCTCCCCGCAGGGCTCAGGAGGTGAAGGAGAGCCCCTTCTTCCGCTCCCTGGACTGGCAAATGGTCTTCTTGCAGAAGGTGATAGCCTGTGGCAGGGGCTGGGGGGCACCCTGCAGCGCCTGCCCCATGCTAAGGCCCAATGACCCCTGTTCTGCTGCAGTACCCTCCCCCGCTGATCCCCCCACGAGGGGAGGTGAACGCAGCCGACGCCTTCGACATTGGCTCCTTCGATGAGGAGGACACAAAAGGAATCAAGGTACTGGGGCTTGCCTGGCCTCTCGCCTGAGCCCTGATCCTGGCTGGGGGGACCTTGTCCCTCGAGGCCCCTGCGAGCCTCCGTGCCAGCCCTGCCAACCTGTGGGCCTCAGCTCCTCTGCCCCACACTTCCCCGGGGGTGGCAGGTGGACCAGACCATCCCTGCCCCTCCCTGGGTCTGGGCAGGCCTGTGGCTGATGGATGTCCTGGCACCTTCTGTCCATCCATGTGTCCCTGCCCTGTCTACCTGCTGAAGTTACTGGACAGTGACCAGGAGCTCTACCGCAACTTCCCCCTCACCATCTCGGAGCGGTGGCAGCAGGAGGTGGCAGAGACTGTCTTTGACACCATCAACGCTGAGACAGACCGGCTGGAGGCCCGCAAGAAAGCCAAGAACAAGCAGCTGGGCCACGAGGAAGGTGAGGGTGGCCGGCCCCTGCCCACTTTGGAAGTGAGGAACCGGCCCAGGCTTAAGGCACTGACCTTCTGGCCAAGGTCACAGCCAGAGAGCAGCCAAAGCAGGGACTTAAACCCAGGCTGGGCCAGGCTGAGCCCTCTCTCATCTCTTGCACCAGACTACGCGCTGGGGAAGGACTGTATCATGCACGGCTACATGTCTAAGATGGGCAACCCCTTCCTGACCCAGTGGCAGCGGCGGTACTTCTACCTGTTCCCCAACCGGCTCGAGTGGCGGGGCGAGGGCGAGGCCCCGGTAAGAACTGGGGCTGCGGTCGGGGAGCCGGGCGCCCCATGGCCGGCCTGGCCCTTACCACGGCCCGTTCCCTCCGGCCCTGCAGCAGAGCCTGCTGACCATGGAGGAGATCCAGTCCGTGGAGGAGACGCAAATCAAGGAGCGCAAGTGCCTCCTTCTCAAGATCCGAGGCGGCAAGCAGTTCGTCCTGCAGTGCGACGTGAGTGGGGGCCCCCAGGGGGTGGGGGGTGCGGTGGGGGGCACGGCCTGGGCCAAGCATGGCTGACCCCACCTGGCTCCGCAGAGCGACCCCGAGCTGGTGCAGTGGAAGAAGGAGCTGCGCGACGCCTACCGCGAGGCCCAGCAGCTGGTGCAGCGGGTGCCCAAGATGAAGAACAAGCCGCGATCGCCCGTCGTGGAGCTGAGCAAGGTGCCGCTGGTCCAGCGCGGCAGCGCCAACGGCCTCTGACGCCCGCCCGCCTTTTATAAACCTTTAATTTATTTTGTCGAATTTTTATTATTTGTTTTCCCGCAAAGCGGAAAAGGTTTTATTTTGTAATTATTGTGATTTCCTGTGGCCCCAGCCTGGCCCAGCCCCCAGGGAGGGGCCTGCTTGCCTTGGCTCCTGCTGCCACCAACCCAGCCACTGTCCAGCGCCCTCTGTCCCGACCCAGGGCTGCCTGCTCCCAGTATCTTCCCATGGGGGGAGCAGCAGCCCCCAGCAGCCCTCCCGCCCTCCCCTGGGGGACAGTGCCACACCAGGTTGTGCCACCTCAGGCTCTGAGCTGTGCTCTGTGCCCACGGGCACTGCGGGGGCCTAGTGTCCCCCACCCCAGGGGAGGGCACAGCACAGGGATACTACTTGAATTTGCCCACCGAAGCCCCTCTTGCAACAGAGGGACAGAGCCCTGCACTGTCCTGCCCTCTGGCCACTGGCGAGAGGAGAGGGCCTGTTGTCCCCCGGGCCCCCGGCCTCCCACAGTGACTTGGGCTCCTGTACCGTTGTTCGGGAGAAGCCCCTGTGTCACTGGCTGTCTCCATTCCCACCTTCCCTGGACACTGTGGGGCTCGGCCTGGAGGGCGGCATTGGCAGTGGGTGCTGCTGCCCTCCCTAAGCCCCCCTCACCCCCCGCCCCAAGCGCCCGGGCTCAGGGACCACAGAAAGGCAGCTGTGGATTGGGCCACACTGGCCTAGCCTGGCCCCAGGGTCCCCTGTTGCTGGGCCGGGTGAGACCTCATCTGCCCAGGACCACAGGGCGCCGGCGGCGGGTGGGCAGCACAACGCGAGGGGGCCAGCCCTCCCCGCCCCAGGCCCGTCAGTGTGCCCCCAGGCTGTCTTGTCCCACAGACCATGTCCTGTCAGTGCCACCACCCCAGGGCGCCACTCGCCCGCCGCATGCCCCCTCGTGCCAGTCGCGCTGCCGTGTGTGGTGTCGCGCCCCCCCTTCCCCGGGGCTGGGTCAGTACACCCTCCCCTTCCGTCTACTCACTCCTTGGGGCGTTTCTTTGCCGATTTTTGAATGTGATTTTAAAGAGTGAAAAATGAGACTATGCGTTTTTATAAAAAATGGTGCCTGACGTCTTGGCCGTCTCAGACTCTTTTTGTGCTTAGTGACCACTTTGCAGCCTCAGCTGGGGCCTAAGGGGAGGCAGGCAGCTGGGGCCTAAGGGGAAGGTCTTATGGCAGGTGGCCTCCCTGGCCACTGCAGCCAGCCAAGGCCAGCCTGCCCAGGGCAGTGTGGGGGCTCCCGCCCCTCCCCACTGGTCCTGCTCCCCACTGGGTGGCTGTACAGTGCTGTCCCCCTTCTCCAGAGAGGAGGGGGTGTCTTCTGCCCTTTCCCCAGGTAAGCAGGAGGAGGTGTCAGCAGCTCTGTGCTTGGCGTCACGTTTGGATGGACTGGGACCATCTGGGCCTCACTGAGCACCCCCTGCGTGCCAGGCACTGGGCTGAGCTGCCCCTCCCCAGGGACAGTCACAGTGAGGCCCCTCTGCCCTCTGGGTCACATTGCATCCTCTGGGCCTTTGGCCCTCTCTGACCTTGGCCTCTTCTCTGGCCTCACTGTGCAGCCCCCGGTAGGGGTCCCTGAAGCATGAGGGGTTGCCCAACACCAGGCCTCTCATCTACCCAGAGACTTCTGGTCAACTTCCCTTTCCCTGCAGGCCCTCGTGGCAGGCTGGGGGCAGCAGCTTCTGTCCAGGGAAGAGGCATCCTAAAGATGGGGGTGGTGGGGGAAGGGACGAACTGAGGCCAGATGGGAAGAACATGGCCCAGCAGGGACCTGGAATGAGCAACATGGGCGTCTAAGATGGAACACGGGGGGTCCGTGGTACCAGTCACAGAGCCAGGACAGCTGGGAGCTGAGCTAGGCTTGGGGGAGGAGAGTGAGTGGCTGGATATGGCTTCAGACACTGATGGGACAGCACGGAGCACCTGGGCATAGAGATGTTCTGGAGGAAGCCGAGATGCAGGCCTGCGTCAGGGTGACAATGGGAACACAGGCTCTTGACCAGGGACGGGGAGAGGGGCCCTGGCCTAGAGTTAGGGAGGCACTGTCATGGAATTAAGGGCCCGTGGGGAGGCACGTTCGAGACTGCAGAGGTCAGGAGAGGCTGGGCCCAAGAAAGTCCTGTCGGGTTTGGGCTTTAAAAGGGCGTGGGGGAGGGACAGCCTCTTGGAGAAAGGTGGAAGCCAGAGAGGGCTGCACAGCCCATCTTAGAGCTCTGGACATTTGGAAGCCTTTGGGCTGCTGTCAACCTCAGGACATCACGGAGGACACTACAGGGTACAGTGTCAGCAATCCCAGATGGCACAGGAGCCGCCTGACAGCAATGAGAAGGTGGGGCGAGAATGGCAATCAGGCCCCCTCTCCCAGAGACTCCCTGGGGCAGGGGGTGACCCTGAGGCCCTAAAGCTATATGGCCCTTCTAGACCCAGCTATGGAGTCATTTTACAAGTAGGTTCACAGACCAGAGGGTCAGCCATGGCCAACAAAACCAGGATCAGAGACCTCAGGCTAGGCCTCCAGTAACCAAAGGCCGGAACCAAGCTGACTGAGGCCTGCACCCTAGTTCCGGTGTGGGTGGCGGCCCGCCTGGATTTCACAACTCTCCTTCCTCTCTTGACACTAGTAGCAAAGTGCATCCTCCGCAAAAGGGGCCCGTGCGGTGGGCAAAGGCAGCTCGGAGGGTCCTCCATCGGGAAAGCGCTGGGGCTGCCCGGGGCAGTGCCCCTCGCTCCTCAGTACTCCCGCCCTGACTCCAGCGCCCCGGGGACCGCCTGTCCGCATCGCTGGGCCCCAGACTCCGGCCCAGGTCCCCAGGGAAGCGGACAGCATTGGAGGCATGTGCGGGGTGCTCATCTCCGAACTGGGCGCTCGGAGCTCCGCGCGGCGGTGATGGCAGGGGAGCCGGGACCTCGCACCTCTCCCGCACTCACAGACCGGAACGCGGCACGCGCGAGGGGCTCCCAAGGGACACGCGGGGAACCCGGCGGCACATGACCGCGACCCGCTGCGCGCGCACGACTCACGGGCCCAGTCCCCGCCCCGCGCCGAGCCGCCCCGCCCCCGGGCCCCTCCCTCCCTTCCGGACCCGCGGGGAGGGGTCTGCGCCGGGCCTGGGGCGCCCCCTGCAGGCCGCGGCGGAGCTGCCCCAGGCCCCGGCCTCCGGCCCGGCCCCCGCAGACCCTCGTCCGGCCGAGGCGGGCGGAGACCCGGGCGCGGGCTTGTCTCCGGGCGCGCGTGGTGGCCCCGGCGTCTGGGCAGCGCCGCCCGCCCGCGCCCCGCGCGCGCGTGCCGGCTGCGGTTGCCATGGCTGCGGAGCGGGGGGCGCGCGGCCCGACGCCCGCCCGGCCGGCGCAGCCCGCCCCGCCGCCGGCCGCCTGCGCCGCCGCGCGCCGCGCCGAGCCGCTCCTGCCGGGCCGCGGGGCTGCGGTGGGCGCTGCCGGGGCGCGGCTCGCAGGGGAAGCGAGGGGCCGCGCCAGGCCCGAAGCCCAGGCGGGGCCGGGATGCGGCGCTGAGGCCCAGCATGGCCGGCCCGGGCCCCACCTTCCCGCTGCACCGGCTCGTCTGGGCGAACCGGCACCGCGAACTGGAGGCCGCGCTGCACAGCCGCCAGGTGAGGCCCGGCTGGGGCACCCGGCCGCTCCCCCGACCCTCACACCCAAGCTGTGGTCTCCACCCTGGAGGCCGCCCTTCCCAGCTCGGCTCCGCGAGCGCATCCCGGCCCCTCCCCAGCCCGGTGGAAGCCCGGGTCACCTGCCCTTCGCGCCTGAGCCCCTGGCCTCGCCTCTCAGCGTTGGGCCTTACTCTGCTCGCCTGCCCTCCTCACCCTGCATCGAGCCCCCGAACTCGCGCCCGCATCACCCCTGAACCAGACTGAGAACGAGAGCCCTGGTCCTGGACGGGTCCCCAGGCTCGCCCAAACTCTTGACACGCTGCACCTGCACCAGCACCTATGCCTTACTAGGCCATGCGACCCGGGACCCTCCTCTCACTCCTTCCCTCCCCTGCCAGGACACGCAGGCCGTTCTCTGCCATCTCCCTGGCCTGTCTGCCATCATTATTTCCCACATGACTCCCAGTCCTGTTCAGCCCCATAGCCTCCTGGGCCTCTGCTCTCCTGCCCTTTGCTGAGTGTCCCACCTCCCCCAGCACGACATTGAACAGGAGGACCCTCGGGGGCGGACCCCGTTGGAGCTGGCCGTGTCCCTGGGAAACCTGGAGTCCGTGAGAGTCCTCCTTCGACACAATGCCAACGTGGCCAAAGAGAGCCGCCAGGGCTGGGCAGGTACTTCGGAGAGCAGAAGGGTCCCCCCTGAGGCTGGCAGCAAGGTTGGAGGGTGGGAGTGACCAGCCAGGCCTAGGGCCATCAGGAGGGCTCCCCTCAGCAGCCTGGTGTCCCCAGTCCTGCAGGAGGCAGTCAGCACTGGAGACCCCGAGATGGTGCAGCTGGTGCTCCAGTATCGGGACTACCAGAGAGCCATGCAGAGGCTGGCTGGCATTCCGGAATTGCTCAACAAACTCCGCCAGGTACAGCAGGGCACAAAGACGTGGACAGTAAGAGGGGTCAGGTACCATGGCAGGAGACCACCTTGGTCACCTGTGCCAGGCCTGGCCTTGGAGGGGCAGCCAGTCTGTGCAGTGTGTTCTCCTGCCACACTGCAGGAGAGGAGTTCAGGCCCAAATGGATGAGACTGGGCCCTCTGGAAGAGAAGCCTTTGCCAGCATCGAGGGGCCCTGGTGCCAGAAATCACTAAAGAGCTTTAGCTTTGGGCCTCCTGGAGAATGCAGATGTCCTGGAGAGGGGACTTCAGGTCTGCTTGGTGGATATGGCCTGAGTCCCTGGAATGCCTGGTACTGTGCACCCTTCTGGAAGCACACAGCGGGGCCAGGCTTGCAGAGCATACAACCTCATGCCCCTTCTTACCTCAGGGGCAGGCTCAGATGGGGCCAGTGTTCCCCTTTCATAGATGAGGACTCTCTCTTTCATAGATGAGGGGCAAAAGCTCCCCCAGGGCCCCCCAATGGGCTCATGGCCAGGTTGAGACTGGCCCCCAGGCCTCCACATGCCTATAGCCTCATTGCAGATGGACCGTTTTAGGGCCCCACTTGGCCCACCCTCTCCCGGGCAGGGGTGGCTGGTGTCACTGGGCCTAGGCAGTGCATTAAGACTTGCTGAAGGGCTGGGCTCCCAGAGAGTGACTGTGGACGAGGATCTCCCAGGCCTGCCGGCCCCTAGCACCAGGAGGGTCCTGATGGCCAGCTCTGGTCTCTCTCAGGCCCCCGATTTCTACGTGGAGATGAAGTGGGAGTTCACCAGCTGGGGTGAGTGGGGACCACTCAGCTCCCAGGGGCTTGGGGTGGGGCCTTTAGATAAGACCCCCCCCAATGACCTTGGTGCACCCTGCAGTGCCCCTTGTGTCCAAGATGTGCCCGAGCGATGTGTACCGCGTGTGGAAGCAGGGAGAGAGCCTGCGCGTGGACACCAGTCTCCTGGGCTTTGAGCACATGACCTGGCAGCGCGGCCGGAGGAGCTTCATCTTCAGGGGTCAGGGTGAGCTCTGGGGGCAGCGCTGCGGTCCTCGGACTCTCCAGTGGCTTGCGGGGGTGAGGCCATCCTTTCTCTCCCCTTTCCAGATGTGGAACCTGAGGTTGGGATGGAGAGGATCCAGGGGCTGAGGTGGACCCACCACCTGAGCAGCAGGTGGCAGAGGGTGGCGTGATGGCGCTCTCTATGCTGTGGGTGGGGGCTGGCTCTGATTGGTGCCCCCTCCTGTGTTCCCCTGCTGGCCGGCAGAGGCAGGAGCCCTGGTGATGGAAGTGGACCACGACCGGCAGGTGGTGCACACGGAGACGCTGGCGCTCGCTCTGCACGAGCCCGAAGCGCTGCTGGCTGCCATGCGGCCCAGCGAGGAACACGTGGCCAGCCGCCTCACCTCTCCGATCGTCTCCACCCACCTGGACACTCGCAACGTGGCCTTCGAGAGGTGAGTATGGGGCACCGTGGTGGGGCGGGAGAGGGAGCAAGCGCCACCGTCGATGAGAGCAAGGCTGTCCTTGAGGCTCCCGCCACAGCCG